GCCAATTCTGTTATTTTTTTTTATTTTTTTTATTTTTTATTTTTTTTATTTTTTTGAAGATCAAATAGGTGCCATGCCATTTTGCCAGTTCGTGCCTCCTTACTTGGAACACAGGAGGTGTGTTGGGTTATAGGGCGCAGCGTCGCCAGAAAATGCTCCTCTGCCGCGTCCCCTCACCTGGAGATGCCCCCCACCCCTTTTCTGTTCTGTTCGTTGAAAGTTGATCAAAGGACACCCACTAGATGGCGTTAGCGCATACTCCTGCTTAAATACAGTTTCATTGATAAATCCCTTCTTTTTTTTGTATTATCTGTATTTTAAATACTGGATCATTACTTGCCTTACCTGCGATATTACATGAATCATACAGGTTCGTCATTTCTTTAGAATACTGAGACATTTACTTATTTGTGTAATTAGTAGTTTATTTTAGTAAACTAGAACTATAATTTAGCACTGAGAAAATGTTCCAGTGCATTAAATAGGTATTCAAATAATAACCTAAATTTTACGAAATGCAGTCACATGATTTAATTTAGCATGGGGATTAGAAGGAAACCAATATGACTCTATACAAAATTGAAGTTTCCCCTTAAATATAAACATTAGCTGTGCCACTTCTAGGGAGGGGGGCAGGGGGCTAATATCAAGTGTTTAAGATGACTGGCAGTAACTCTTTTTAATCTCAGAGTGTGAATTTTGGCCCAGTCTTCTTTGCAGAAATGTTTTAATTCAGCCACATTTTTATATTTTAGAGCCTAAACAATCCATCTATAGTCATAACACAGCACTTAATGAAGGATGTAAGCCTTAAACGCTGCTTGGTATTTACTCAGGTTATTCTCATCTAATTTCAAAATTAGATAAGAATCTAAAGCACTTAAGGTTGATCAAGAGTATAAGAAATACATTTGATAGAAAGGTTATTGTGGAAAGCTGAATATTCAGCCTCATAAAAACAACATTTTAATACAGAGTTTGAAAAGGAAAGTAATTCACAAATGACTGTTGCTAAAGAAGCTGGCTGTTCAAACTGTGCTGCAGCCACATAAAATGGATGTTAAGACGGAGGAAACATACAGTAGTGCCCAAGTAACAGGGATAAACACAGCCTTGAGAGGATTGTGAAGTAAAGCCCATTTAAGAGTTTAGGGGAGATTCAGACGTTGTGGACTTCAGCTGGAGTTGGTGCTTGAAGCGGCAACACACACTGCTGCATCCAGAGCCTGGGCTAAAACTTTTCCATTCTTTGTGTTAAGTCTGCTATGAAAAAGAAATGGCTAGAGCTTTTTATAGAACTTAAGGAGAAAAAAGACCGGGCTGCTGTTCACTGATCTAAGGTTCACTTTTCAGATGAAAGTAAACGTGGCATTTTATTTGGAAATTATGATGGCAGCATCTGGAGGAAGAGTGGAGAGGCATCCATACAAATTATGAAAAGCATAATTCCTGGATGTTCTGCGGCAGGTCTGCAGGTTGAAGGTTCACCTGCAGACCTGAATGCAGCAACTAAAAAATGGCACAGAGAAGAGAGCATGATGATCCATCCCCATAAAGCTAGTTCTGGCTATTTTTGACTTATTTAGGGTTATGAGTTAAATTGTATGTGTTGCTTTGACATCAATGTTTTCAAAAAATTGTGTTTATAAGGTCTAACAATGTTTATTAATATCAGGGTTTCCCCCTGTGTATTATAAGCCTGGCGGGCCACCAGGCTTTCCTTGTGCCCCCACCATGCTAAGCACTGCTTATTTTTTTAAGTCTTTTTAAAATGTTTGCATTTTTTAAGACTTTATAGTTCGCGTTCAGGTATTAATCTTCCAATCTTTTAATAACACATAATTATCAAGATATATTTTCAAATTTCCTATAAACATTTCTTAACTCAAAAACATGACGGGCCGCTGGATGAATGCGCCCAACCACCGGGCTTAACAAGTTTTCTGAGGGAAACCTTGAATATGTACTATCCCCTTTTTAAATAAAACAAAACAATTGAATTTTAACATAGAAGTAAGCACAAAATGTGCTTGTGCATCTTTAGGAAGACTAGAGAGAGAGATTTGCTTTGGTGGGTTATGTAAAATAATGATATAGATTAAAATTTCCTATTTACCACAAATATGTGATCATATTGATAAACTCAACTTGTGTTTTTAGTTTTGCAGCCATATAGTCAATAAACTTTTGCATCCCTTATTTTGAAATAATTTGATAAGATCCCTTATTTCTTGGACTGACCTATCTGCCAAGAATATTTCTGTGGTCAAGACACCAAAAGAGAGTACAAGTTATATTTCTTTATTTATTTAATAATACCTTGAATAATTTTTGCTGAACGTTGTTTGCATGTACATTAGAGGCAGACTAAGGAGCTAAACCCAACTCTGTGATATTCAAACCAGTGTACAGAACCAACCAGCAGACTTCACAACAGAGATATGCAGGGGGAACTGACTGAGAAAACAAAAAGTAAATAAAGATGAACTCACTGGAGCGATAAAGCAGAATGGGGTTGATTGTGAATATGGAGTGGTGTAATGAGGAGAAGCGCTGCTGAGGTCACGAAGATGTAAATTCAAAAGAACAGAACAAGAAATAAAACTCAACTGAAGGACAGTCCAGCTGACAGCGAAACAAAACAAAGCAACCAAAGATTAAATAAATGAAACTCAAGAGCAGGATGAAGATACAAGCCATGATGAACTATTCAATAAATACAATAACGAGGGAGGGAAACAAGTAAAACTATAAAAAATAGGATAAAGAAGAGACTTTTTCCAAACGTAATAAAAATTATTTTCCAGACATAATTTATGAGAAAGAAAGAAAGAGAGAAAGAAAGAAAGGACCGAAGGAAGGAAGGAAGGACGGACGGACGGACGGAAGGAAGGACAGACAGAAGGAAGGAAGGAAGGAAGGACGGACGGACGGAAGGACGGACGGACGGAAGGAAGAAAGGACGGAAGGAAGGACAGAAGGACAGAAGGACGGAAGAACAGAAGGAAGGTGAAGAAAAGGGGACTCAAGAAAGAAAGTAGAAAGGAAGCACAACAAAAAATGAGGGGAGAACAATAACAGGAACAGTGAAAAGTGAAGGACATAAGAAAGGGGGGACATATGGAAGTATGGTTGGAAGGACAGATGGAAGAGAGACATGAAAGTGATGACAAAAGGAAAAATTACAATAATTACAAATTACAATAACAAACAGTGTGAAGAAAAAAAGGAAAGAAAGATAACAGGAAAAAAAGGAATGAAACAAGGAAGGGAGAATGAAAAGACATACTGAGAAAAGGACAGAAGGATGCAAAGAAAGAAAAACAGACAAGGAAAGTCAGAAAGACACAGAAAGAATGAAAAAAGGAAGAAAAGACAATTGAAGAGAGGCAAATTAAGAAGTGCAGTGGTTACACCAGAAAAAAGGAAAGACACAGAAGGCAAAAAATGCAGAAATAATGACAGAGGGAAACATAGAAGAAGAAAAGTGAGGAAGAAAAAACACAAAGAAAGAAAAACATGGGGACAGGCAGAAGGGAGGACAGAAGAAATCAAAGAGGCACAGAAGAAAATACATAAGAAAGGATGGTCAACTTTTGGTCAAGAGGAAGGGGGAGGAAGCCTGGATATATAAATGTTTTTGCAATGCATAAGGACCCTGAAAGAAATGGTTCTTGATGATGGGAAGATCTCTGCCTAAAAAAAAAAAAAAGAACCGATCTAAAGTTGTCCTGAATGCATTTTAGAGAGAACCATCCCTGTGTCGTGTGAGTGTGTGTGTGTAAAGCAGATTATTATCAGCACTTCATATTCACCCCCATCAGCAGGAGAGAGTAGCCCAGCTGAGCTCACCGCCCTGCTGCTGCGCTTTCTTACCGCCGTCCCACAGCTACTCAGCACTATTCATAACGTAGTCCTACATTTTCTGCCCTGGCTCTGAGCAGCAGCAGCCCTCTGATTGCACAACAATGCTTTGTATTTAAATCACAAGAAAAAAAAAAAAGTCCAATATTGATATTACAGAAACTGAATTTTCAGTTCGACTGACCAGCCAATATGTTGTTTATCTTCTGCGCTGATACTTATTGAGTAATTTAGATTTACTAGCAGAAAGGTCATTTAAAACATTTATTGTTGACAGATCTTCGCCTGAAGTGTCTGGCATTCTGGTCCCTGTTCCTTTTCTACTCAGATCTACTTTTTGAATTGCACTGAGTTGAAGGGACAAGGTCCCGTTGGTCTATTTGTGATTAGGCTGTTCTCAAAAGGATGAGCTGAAAAGAAGAACATTTCATTTTTCCAGTGTGAAAAAGCAGAAGATTGCAGTCTTGTTCGTAATTTGTCAAAATTAAATTTTTAACTGAAAAACACCCACAGTCATCTGTCCTTATACGTCAAAAACAAGTATTTTACCGAAAAAAATTACTGGATTTTAGTTGCAAGGTAATGGCAAATATGTATCTTTGAGTTCAGGGAGTGGGAAAATACACTCACAAGAAAAGAACTCTAACTTTCTGGTTGGTGTGTGCCTCGTGTAAAATTAATATATTTACGTCTGGATAGCTTAAAAACGATCCAAAATTAAATTTAGGGAACAGTCTGGTCCAATCTGGACTTAAGCCCAATTGAGACGCTATCGCACAACTTTAAACATAAAATGTTACTCATAATGGACTCAGCATCCGTTTCTCATCTTTACAAGTAGTTTTGTGCATCCAACAACAAAAAATGTGCCCAACCATGAGGAGTTTTCAGCTTTAGTGCCTTTAAGAAAAAGAGCAGGGAAATAATCCGAGTTGATCAATTCTAGACATAGTCCATGATATTTCTTTGGAATAGCACGTTTGAATGATGTGAAAACATTAAATTATTTCATGAGAATCTGTAGACGTGTCTGTATATTCTGATCTGACCTGATTGAAATGAAGAAAAAGTGGAAGGAGACGCTGCAAAAAAACTTTTTCTTAGATTAATTATGCATCCACATTCTGACCACATTATTCAAAACAAGCTTGTTTTATTCATAGTGGGACAAGGTGAGGAATCAAGAATGACGGTGGATGGAGTGAATGAGGCCACACTGCAGACACACTCAGTCTGTTCAATATCTAATCTCCGCTGCTTGATGCTACACAAGCTGCTCCCTTTCTCTGCATAATATTTCACATTAACGCTTGAGACTGCCTCGTAATTGCCTCATTGTTACTCCAGCGTCTGCGGCCAGATAAAACATGGTTAAATGCCAGTTAATCTCTTCAAACAGGTATCTGCAGATAAACTTAATCAGACAATAGCAGATGATTTTCCAAGATTAAATGGAAGTTTGATCATTTGGGTTCTCGGGGCAAATGAACAGTGGAAATTGTGAAGCCATTCAGTGAAACAAGACAATATCTGGACTTATTAATAAAAGATTAAACACATCCGTAATGTTGGCTAAATTGATTTTTAACTAGCAAAACCCAAAATCAAGAATCAGAGCCGCCGTTCCATTTCTCACGCTAAATTGGTTTTGATGAACAGATATTTATGCACATAATGATGATTCAGATGGGCTCATTTGGAGCTCTGCTGGCTGAGAAGAACGGCTCCCTCTTGACGCCTATTGCTTTATTCCCAGTAATAAGCACACACAGACCACCAAGACAACTTCATCACTTTGTGGCTTATAGGTCAGTTGTACTCATCAGCAATCAAGGAGTAAAACAAGCCCAAGTCTGGGTGTCGGTGCTGGTCTTTGCAGGAATCCTTCTGCTGCCTCACACTCAAATACACACACACAGACACAAAAATAGCTTAGATATACACTACATTGCCAAAAGTGTTGGGTCACTTTCCTTTACATAGACATGAACTGTCATGTCAGCCCACCCATTGCAGAGATAACAGTTTCAACTCTTTCCACCAGATATAGGAGGAGTGCATTTATGGGAATGTTTGAACAGTCATCCATCAGTAAGACACTAAGGTTTGACAAAAAAGAGCTGGTTTACTGTCTTGTCTTTAATTTCGCTCAAAAGTATTCTTCTGAGTTGAAGTCAAGACTGTGCAGTCATCTGCTTCCACATTAAAATCACCCGTCTTTTTTCTTATGGATCTTGCTTTGTGAATTAGTGCACAGTCATGTTGGAACAGAAAAGGGCCATCTCCATTGTCCAGAGAGACTTTCCCACGCCCTAATCTACTTTTCTTGGAGTTCTTGCACAATGCAAATAAATGTTTGACTATTTTTTTATTATTTAAATAAACTGACCAAGTATTAACTTTTTTTTTTCTTTAGTGTCCAAAAGGTCACGAATCCCTGGGCAGAGAACCATGTCCCCTATATTTAAAAAGAAAACCCAACAGGGGTCCATCCATTTTTCACATCTATACCCCAGTTTCCGTTTTGCCCAGGGCCTGTGTTTGAAATCCAGCTCACAGGTCAGTCCATGAAATAAAGAGTTGGTGGGGGAGTGGTAGTGTGATAAATTACACACAGATAAGTTCTTACAAAGACCCTCTGCCCCCCTTCGGGCGCTGCTTTTCATGGTGAGCAGCAAACCCCATAAATCAACAGCTGAATCTCTGCAAACGGTGGCTTCTTGCAGCCGACATGGTGATACCTCACGGCGTGTTCCGTGTGGCTTCCACAGATCTTGGTGTTTTGAGAGTTGGCCTGAGAAAAGCAACAAATGATAAAAAAAATAAAAAATAAAAATCCTCCAATTACATTCTTCCAGTCATATTTTACGTTTTGCAGATGTTGCATGCACATCATGAAATATAAGTGGCTTAGAAAGGAGGTGTTGGGCTCCAAGAGACCGCTCTGTGCTTTCTGCTACATCAAGGCAAAACTCCAGCTTCCTTTAGCATTCCCACCTCATGACTTCTGTTCCATAAATCAAACCCTGTGGACCTGCCGTGTTGAAGAAAAGCAATAAGGGCTTAGGAGGAAAACCGTAGAAAACAGATGATTCTGCAGAGAAAGTGTTGAAGATTTTCCTGCAGACAGCTCCAATAAGAGCTTAGCAGGGTGGTCAGCTCGTACAGTTCATGCTTACAGGTACAGTGGGGTAAACATTTGATAAGTGGCAATGCTCTGGGTGGTGAACTTGACAAATGTCAGGCTTTAGTTCAGGTCCACTGAGCCCTGTGCATGACCAATGCTCACATTAATCATTGCACTGCAGGGGTTGAGCCTGCTATAGCCAGACAGTTAGCATGTAATGCCTGCATCCAGCGAAACTTTAGTCTGATTCAGCCGGTACAAGCAAATGCCATTCAGGACATTTTAGGACAACGGTGTTAATTGCAGTAAATGGACAGATGTATCTTTTTTTTTATGACAGTTAAACCTGCCAAATGTCACTTTACGATGTTGCCAACCATGACTGTGAATTAAATTCAGACATCTTTCGTAAAGTGGTTACAGTTAGTTAGACTAATGGCAGGCATTAGCCTTTTATAAAGGCTGCGCATATGTCCCCCCGTCTCCTCATCAAGGTGTGAAAAACTGTTATGTATTCCGATTCAGGCGAGGAGGATAATAAATAAAAAGGTTGCAGAAGCACACAGGATGCAGCGTGGGCGAACTTGTTTTCACCATGACACTGTCGACCTCCAGCCTCCTCTGAACCAAAGGAACTGTTTGAAAATTCTCTTTAATTTAGAACAGAGTGCTCGTGTTTACCAAACGCCAGCCTCAAAGGCACACACGAGAAACGACGCTTCCCGTTCTGCCTCCAACATACAGATGGAGGACAACAGTGGACACTAATTATGCTCAGAAGATATAAACGGAGCACATTTAACTCCATTTAAATACAGAGCACTTACAGTACTGGGAAAAATTATAAACTGCCAACTATTTCACTATGCTCTCCATCATAACCAAAATGTTTTGAGGAATTTAGAAATTTTAAGCTTTTCTTTGAGTTTTGGTTGCAGTTCCTTGTTTCTCCTGATTTTCAGAGGAAAATCTCAGACCTATTCCTCAGACAACTATTCCTTGCCTGTGTACTTTCAACATTTCTTTTTATTATTTCTCTTCCTGGCATCTATTTCTACTTTATTGTATGAGTTAGGATTATCTGGAAATTATTCAGGTTTTATTTGCACGTAAATCTGCCTCTTTAATCTGTGCATTTGAACCCTACAGATATAATTTAAACAGAAAGAAGGTCACTACCAAAGAGCAAAGATATAAAGAATACGGCATTCAGTAGATGATCAAATGAATATCTACCAAGGCTATGTGCTTGGTCTTTGGACTTTTTCTTATTTCTATACGAGTAATTACTTTAGAATAAAGTTCCTATGTAAAATGTTTTTAGGGTTCACACTTCTTTTTTTTTTTAGTACCCAACTTGGTGTGTGAGTGAAAACACAGGAAACATGCTGGAAACACACAGAAAGCCTGAAAATCTAATGCTAAAGACCACGTTTGGAATGGACAGAAAAACAGATGGATGGATAGACGGAGGGAGGGCCGTGGATTATTGAACATAAATATGGTTTTATTCACAACATATATCGACATTAATTCACATGATACCCTGAATGTCACTGTGCTTTCATTTCTTCCTCAAGCCACCTCTTCACAAAGTCTGATCAGTGAGAATAAAGCAACATCTTTATCTTTTAATGTTTAGCATTTTACCAGTTCAAAAGGGACTGGCTACCATTAACATGACTAATAGGGTTGGATCATTTCTTGATGCAAGCCTCGAATGTGTTCAGCCACCTCAGTGTCACCGAGTCATTGGTATTCAAACTCTACAGTTTTTCTCTGAAGCAAAAATGAAACTTTTAAATCTTACTCTGACTTTTTAATAAGGATATTTTCCAGATTTTTTATTTTTATGAAAGCCCAAACGGTCTCAGCTTAGTGTTCAAGCAGTCACTGACTAGATTTATTTGCATTTTTGCTTTAGCCGTCCTAAAAAATTGTCATCCTCAGCTTCAGCCAGAATCACTTGCTTGCTGGGTTGCAGGCCACATTAAATTTAAAATAAGTCGAAGATGGTGCTATGACACACATGCGGCAACAATATGAAAAGTTGCAAATGCTGCACATTTCTGAATGCAGTTTGGTTATGACCAGACATTATGGACTCACATAGCCCACCATCACAGCCTAAAGCAAAAGAGCAATGCACCACAAATTTGCATTTTTACAGCAGGAAGCTCTTGGTTTATTTGTGTGAAAGTAATAAAACACTTTTCTAGTTATGCACACCATTTAAAGTTGCTTTCACTCATCTCTATTCCCAAAGGTTCACACCTACACCTATCAGTAGGCAGTTTACAGTTAAGCATTATGCCCTACTCTTCCTAATGAACTACATCGACTGCAAAGATGCATCAAGAAATTGGCTGGTGACTGAAATTGCCAGATTTTAAACCGGACATGAAATAACCAGACATGAAGTTCTGATCTTTCTCCTACCATTAAATGCTCCATTGTGTTTTTACCATCTGGAGGACTGGTCTTCAATGTAAGAGCTGTTAACGTTCTCAACTTTCAGTGTTGGTGAGGTGTTAAACACAGGGAGCACAAAGATGTTGTTCTTGTACTTCTCATGTCTCGGCAGGTCTATCATTCATTCAGACTGGAAAACAGCAAGAACGATGAAGATTTCTAGCAGATAACAGGAAGGTCAGATAAAGTTTTAGTTTTTATCCTTGAGTGTTTCATGAAAACATGCTGAATTTTGAAATGGTTGCAGCGTTTGAAAATGTGAGGAAATACTCAGAGGCAGGTGTTTCTGTAACCATGATAATCACTAGTCCAACTTCAAGGATGTTGAAGCAACAAGTGGATCTGTCAAAATGTTTGGTTGTTATGAGTACTAACCCACACAATTGATCACACCATCAAATGACACTAGAACCTTTTCTAAATGCCTGGTTACATTTGATCTTTCTTGGAAATGGGGGAAGTCCCCTTTGTTTACATGAAGCACTTACAGGATGAGTTCTTCAAGAAGGGTTTGCTGAAAGACTCTCTAATTAAGGGGTCTGTTAATCTAAACTGTCTACACAATGGACACAGTACAGCAATAAGCTGCAAATAGTGTTAAAAAATTAGACATGAATTTATTGTGTGTTTATATGTTTTAACCCTTGTTTTGATCACTGTAGCACTGTACCTTCTGCTTATATTAGCGGTGTGTGCTCACTTTTAGCTCCTTAAAGACAAACACACTGCATGTTTGTGTGAAGTACTGCAGTTCCATCTAGAGATCGCGCCAAAACGAGTTGCTCTGACACACTTTAAAACAGCGGAACAACGAGCCTGTGGAGCTACAATAACGAGCATGCAGACCAAAGTATTGCAGTTCCACTTTGCATGGATCACAACTGAATGATTTAAATGTGAAAAGTAAATATTTAAAAGCACAATACATCCACTATAAAGCTTTACGAAAATCTTATTGGAAATAGACTGCTGGATCTCTAGATTGAAACCTTTTTTCTCATTTACATTCAGTTTCTTGCTTATCGGCAACCCTGGCAGAAAAATGAAAAGAAGCCGTGAAATAACTTGACCTTTTATTTCACAAGCATATTCCCACTAAGAAAGTTTTTAAAATAATTAAATCCTTAATGTGACAACATTTATACAGAAGGAACCAAAATCCCACGCAGACAAATTTTGTGTCAGCAGTAATTTTTAATTAATTTGCACCCTTACCTATCCTTATGAAATAAATGTAACCCTCAATAATTTATAATTTATTACGTTGATCAGTGCTGAGGAACTGAATTAGTAACTGTGAACATCTTGATTCCTTTAGAGTAAATAGGACATGGCACAAAGGGCAATTTCTCTTAGCCTCTTCTCGAGGTGGGAGAGAAGAGTGAACATCCTGACGTGAGTCAGAACACAGCAACAAGAAAATAGATGCTTGCCTGAACTTGCTCATCTCTATAATCAGAGCAATTATCATACAGTTTAGTACAAATGAGAAACAAAGCTGGAATAAGTGGCATTTTAGGGTCACCAAGTTTCCATAACCAGTTTAGAATAGCTACATATTCCCCCATTGAGAGGGTTTCCAGTAACCCCCCCCAAAACAAAAACCTTTTTAGCAACATCAGAAAGGTAAACATGTAAGTTTGCTAAACTCTTAAAAGGACTTGGACTGAGAAGGTCTGTTTCAGTCAGATGGAACTAAGAATGAGCTTTTTTAAAAGACAATCTGAAATAAACGAGAAAAAAAAGTTAATCAAAACCACAAATTAGATAATCATGGAAAAAATTAAATAACCAGAAACATCAACGACAAGCAGCATGGCATCAGAGTCATCTAATGATGTGCAACTCTGTTTAAAACCAAACCTGCAGCAGAGACAAAAATCTGCAGTAAATGCAAATTTATTTTCACTTACACACATCCCATCATATCCCAATCAGATCAAATATTACAAGTCCAACGTCCTACTAAAAGCTGTTTTATTGATGCTTCTTGCTGTAATAGTTAAAATGTTTTATGGGCTATTTGATCATTGTGACTGGGTTTATGGTTTAGCTTGGGTATCTTTATATTATTTCTCATAAATGTTTAGAAAATTTAAGCAGCCATCATATTCAGTTGACACTGTGTATAACTCAGCTTTGAAGCCTTGATTGCTGGGGCCATTTCTCTCCGTTACAGCTCTCCGTCATTCGTA